CCTGCTGCCAAAGTTTGTGAAGTCTGCTCTAAGCAAATTTATTGGATCAGCAAGTCGTCTTACTGAGAGTTCAGACCCTCTCTGTGTCTGCATTCTGATATATAAAATAAGTAAACCCAAGCAAGAAATGATTGGATGACAGGCCACTGGCTTATGACATCATGATTTGCAGGAACCGGTACACCTATCCTGGTGACCTGGGTCCACCACACAGCAGCAAATGAAGTCATAGGTGGTGAAGAAGTAGAATGGACTATGCCATTGCAGACTGCAGGTGAATGGTGACATTTTTAAATGTTCTACTACAGTTGTACCTCAGGTTAAGTACTTAATTCGTTCTGGAGGTCCGTACTTAACCTGAAACTGTTCTTAACCTGAAACACCACTTTAGCTAATGGGGCCTCCTGCTGCTGCCGCGCTGCCGGAGCATGGTTTCTGTTCTCATCCTGAAGCAAAGTTTTTAACCTGAGGTACTATTTCTGGGTTAGCGGAGTCTGTAACCTGAAGCGTATGTTACCTGAAGCATCTGTAACCTGAGGTACCACTGTACATTTAAATTGGGTCTCTTTCACCCGCTAATTTTTAAAGTCTGAAAGGCAACTCATGCATCTCCCAGCTCCTTCCCCCAGACTTAGTGAGATGCATGTGGTATCCCTTCGTCTACTACTTCCAGAGTCACCTGAACAGTCTGTCCCTTCATAACATCTGAAACCAACTTGAACTTGCACCCTGATTTTCAAGGAAACTCAGCCACCATCTCCCTCCCCACACTGTGACATCAGTCTTGCATCATATTGGCTGATAGTTAACACCTTTAAAATCTTCACTCAGGGACCTCGTGTTTGGCAGATCAAGAGAGGGACTGTTGTTATGTGGATGGCAATAGCTTTAAAGTGACCTCATTGTGAATTTTAAGAAACCATTTGAATTCCCTGGACTCTCACTCTTGTCATGAGCATTCATGTTTGGCTATTTATAGAAAACCCCTCAGAACGGCACTGAAATATTCATTTATTTCTACCCATGCAAATGCCAACAGAGTAAAATGTGAAATCAGTCGCACAGCAAAAGAATACAGCACACAACAATTCCTTATTTAAAACAGAAGATTATTATAGCCTGCATTAAGAGCTACAAAATCAATGCACATGCATCTGAGAGCACAGTCTGGACATCTTCAAGTTCAGCAATGGCTGACACTACGTTATGTTTCCCCCTGTTAGTGAAGGCTTAAGGTCAGGATTGGCTAACCTGTGGTCCTTCAAGTGTAGTTGGACTACAGCCCCCCTCAGCTTTGACCATTGGCCATGCTGGCTGGGGCTAATGGGAGAAGGAGCCCATTCTCTGGAGCTCCCCAGACCACCACAAACTAAAACAGCACACCAGCTAGACGAGAAATTCATTGTCTCTTTATGGTTTTCCTATTAAGGCACTGGGTTGGGGAAGACTTGGTACAGAAAGTTTCCCTTCATTCTAAGGTTCCTGAGTGCATTTTCCTCTGTGTTTTACACTAAAACAAATTGATCAGGAGTGTGCCTTCTGGCTCAAAGGAGAGGAAGGGAAGGAGAGGTGCCCACCACCTCAAGGATAAATTTGGCCCAGTAGCATTAACAACAGTTGAGAATAAAATGGAACAATGCACATGTCATTATTACGAGGCTGTAATTCCATTTGGGAAGCACAGAATAAGCAAACAGGGCTTGGCAATAAAACAAGTAATTAGTTTGTATCATGTCAGCGCAACTGCTTTGAAAGTAATGAAACGTTGTGTATCTGCACCATCTGAGGAGCTAGCTGAAATGCAACAATCTTGTTAAATTTAGGCAACCTTTGACTAATAGGAAAATGCAACAGATACAATCTCTGTTGGAGACCCATTGGACACAAGCTGTTCCTGGGTCTCTAGTCTCTCCATCACCTGAGATTTCTCACTGGCGCCAAGGTCCTTATGAAGTAATCCAGTTAGCTAAATAAATGCTACACAGCTGAAATCAATGACAAGAAGCGTCCCTTCCCAGCGCAATGCCTTTCCTTCGAGTATGGATAAACAAGCAATGCTTAGTGTGCCTACCATTGTTTTCATTGGTCAACAAATATATACACGAAAGCATTTAACTATTTATCAGCTTATATTGGACAACTCGGCATCTGAAAACAATAAAGGGCAATTAATAGACAATACCAATTCTGTTTTACAAGAGTTGTGGTGGCAGAACAAGGCGTGTTTTGAATTAGCTAGAACTGGGAAGCTCAGGATAGAGACAGGTTGCTATTGCCCACAAAACAGCAGGTCAAACTCAAAGCACTCTGCTTATTAGGTCTCTGTACCATCAGAGCGGGACGCGGGTGGCGCTGTGGGTTAAACCACAGAGCCTAGGCCTTGCCAATCAGAAGGTCGGTGGTTCGAATCCCTGTAATGGGGTGAGCTCCCGTTGCTCAGTCCCTGCTCCTGCCCACCTAGCAGTTCGAAAGCATGTCAAGTGCAAGTAGATAAATAGGTACCGCTCCGGTGGGAAGGTAAATGGCGTTTCTGTGCACTGCTCTGGTTCGTCAGAAGCGGCTTAGTCATGCTGGCCACATGACCCGGAAGCTGTACGCTGGCTCCCTCAGCCAATAAAGCAAGATGAGCGCCGCAACCCCAGAGTCGGCCACGACTGGACCTAATGGTAGGGGTCCCTTTACCTTTACCTTTACCATCAGAGCAGTCAGTAATAAGGGAAGCCGATTTCCGAAATGACCACTAGAGGTCAGCCATGTGGCAGAAGTTTGCTATGGCCATACATAGACTTTAAAAGCTAGCCTGGAATCTGAACTGTCAGTACTTTGTACAAGGAATTTGAGAGCATAGAGGGAAATTTAGGTTTGCTCAATCAATTAAATTGGCTTTAAGTGCTCTGTTGCCCTGGTGCAGCAAACCTGCTTTAAACCCCCCCCCCAGCCCCCCATGGCATTTCCTTTTTGTGGTTGCAAAGCAACAAGGAGATGCAATGGAAACTGGGCTGAACGAATTATTAACAGGAAGATGTATAAACACTGTATGCTCATTGTCATGGCAAGTCCCCGCAAACAAATCAGAACAAATACTCAGTAAAGACTGAGCAGGCACCAACCCGAATGTAAGTTTTGTGCAAGCAAATCAGGATGAATTCCCAATACAGTGGTACCTCGGGTTAAGTACTTAATTTGCTACGGAGGTCTGTTCTTAACCTGAAGCACCACTTTAGCTAATGGAGCCTCCTGCTGTCGCTGCGCCACCGGAGCACGATTTCTGTTCTCATCCTGAAGCAAAGTTCTTAACCTGAAGCACTATTTCTGGGTTAGCGGAGTCTGTAACCTGAAGCATATGTAACCTGAAGCGTATGTAACCTGAGGTACCACTGTAAACAGGTTTTGTGGAAGAGCCCTAGACGCAGTCAAGCTAAAAGGCAGCATGAATTCCAGCTGTTTCTTATGGCTCCTGCTTGATATGGCTGATTAGTTTCTGTTTGGTTCCTTGGCATGAGAGAAGAATAGGACCTATGAACTCATTCACTAGCCTTCTGGTTCCAGATCCTGAGAATCTCCCTGTACATTAAGGTGTAATGCAACAACAGCAACCTGCTATGTTACTGGCAAAATGGCTTTTCTAGGACTGCCTACTGAATGGGAATAGGTGGGAGCTTTCCAGGGCCTTCGACAGCAAACCTGATCTGCAAAAACCAGCAAGTGAAGCTTTTCACACTGCCCTAGTGGCCAACTCCCTGGGGCCCTGGGTTCCTAAGCACCCACAAAATTCCCCATGAAGAGTCCGGGCACCCACAAATTTCAGTGCCAGAGCTGCATGGCACCCACAGCCCTGGACACCCATGGCTGTGGGGCCAAGCTGGCACTCCTGCAACAGGCTTCTGCTAAAGGCACGTCAACGGCAGTGGCTTCAATAGTTGGTGCTATCCAAACAAAGCCATCTCTCTGATGGTTTAAGAGCAGGGATTCAATTCTGAAAGGGGGGGAAAAAGCTCACTACTTTTGTGTAAATATGCAAGTAGTGCTGCAAACTCTCTGAGCGATCAGCACCTTCGAGACAGAAGATGCAAAAGCCAAGCTGAGTTCCATCTGCAGCTAGAGCTTCTCAAAGTCTGCATCGGGATGCCTCAAACAATGCAAACCTACTGGATCTAGTAAGCTGCTTCTGAAGTGCCCCCCCCCCCGTTTGTTCTTTAGGAATATAGGAAGCTGCTTCCCTGTTGACTCAGACTTGTGGTCTACCTAGCTCAGAGAATTGTGAGTAGAGGACCCGCCACCTGCATAGGAGTATAAGACGACACAAAGACACATTATTTTAGGTTAATGGGCAAAATTAGGCCACAACTTTTATTGGTTACAGCCTGTGAGTAGTATTGGCTTAGGCACTGGATGAAACAGAAATACCAGACTCCACCCCGCACAGCTGGGAGTCATCTCAGGGTTAACAACCAATGGGAGGAGCTTGTTGATGCAAATACAGTGGTACCTTGGGTTACATACGCTTCAGGCTACATATGCTTCAGGTTACATACTCTCCTAACCCAAAAATATTACCTCGGGTTAAGAACTTTGCTTCAGGATGAGAACAGAAATCGTGCAGCGGCAGCACAGCAGCAGTGGGAGGCCCCATTAGCTAAAGTGGTGCTTCAGGTTAAGAACAGTTTCGGGTTAAGAACGGACCTCCGGAACGAATTAAGTACTTAACCCGAGGTACCACTATACAACTGGAAGCTCTCCCCCATGAGAACAGACTGGGAGCAGAGCGCTGCCGCGGCTGTTTAAATGCGGCTAGCCCCACCCACCAGCCAGCCCTATTGGACGATTGGAAGGCTTGGCTGTGGCAGCAGAAGCAATCAGGACCAGGGAGCCGAACACGCCTCCCTGCCCCAGCGATAAGCTGTTCCCGCTCACAACCCCTCCCCTCTGGGAGGAGGAGAGGCCTTGTCTATGTACCAAGACTGGCAGAGAACTGCCTAGAGTTTCACACAATCTCTCCCAGCCCTACCTGGAGATGCTGGGAACTGAACCTGGGACCTTCTGCATGCAAAACAGCAGCTCTCCCTCTGAGCTATGGTCAGCAGGGCTGAGAAGAACCCTGTGGTCCTCCATATGATTCGGGACTCCAGCAACCATCATCTGCAGCCATTGCATCCATAAGAGCCACGGATCCCGCAGCCTTGACTTAGAGTACTGGTAGGCAGCATGGAGGATGTTTGCCGGACAGAAGGAACCCCCAGAAGAGGAAAGGGCAGGCAACAACATTTCACTCACTCATTCTTGCTGCTATTGTGCAATCGGTGAAATCAGGTCAGTTTTCTTGAGCAGCAGCAGAAAAAGTGCTGGGGGCTGAGTATAAGCAACCCTTAGCGGGATGCTTTGGAGTGCCAATAATCTCATTTGTCACCAACAGCAACTGTGCGATCTTGTTTCTAGCTACTAAAGAGGTTTGTCTTCCAGAAGTGTGAAAGCACAGTGGGTGAGCGACTGGGGGAATTGGATTTTCTCTGTCCTGAGTTTGGGCTGCATTCAGGAGGTTCATTTGGTACAAGGAAAATCGTAAAATTGTAGAGTTTGAAAGGGGTGATCATCTAGTCCAGGGGTCCCCAAACTAAGTGGTGCGGGCCAGATAAGGCCCGAGGGACTCATTTATCTGACCCCCGCTGCCGCCGCCTGCTTTTACCGGCACTGCGCTGCATGGCTGCCTCTGGGTCAAAGGAGCACCAGAAATCGCTTGTGCGCATGCGCAAGCGTTATTTCTGGTGCACACCTGGGTCGGAGGAGGCCCGTGTACATGCACACAAGCTATTTCCAGTGCTCCTCCAACCCAGAAGTGCGCCGGAAATCATGTGTGCGCATGCATATGGGCACGTGCTCCCCCACCCTCTGGCTTGCTACGCGATCGGCGCTGGAGACACCAGCCCGAGGCGCAGTAAGTTTGCTGACCCCTGATCTAGTCCAACACCCTGAAAAACCTGTATAACTCATTCATTCTTCTGTGCCATAGCTCAGTTGGTTAGAGGATGGTGCCAATAATGCCAAGGTTGCAGGTTTGATCCCTGTATGGGACAGCTGCATATTCCTGCATCGCAGGGGGTTGGATTAGATGATCCTCAGGCTCCTTTCCAGCTCCAGCATTCTATGATTTTGTGATTGATTTACAGTGGTACCTCCGGTTACATACGCTTCAGGTTACAGACTCCACTAACCCAGAAATATTACCTCGGGTTAAGAACTTTGCTTCAGAATGAGAACAGAAATCGTGCTCCAGCGGCAGCAGGAGGCCCCATTAGCTAAAGTGGTGCTTCAGGTTAAGAACAGTTTTAGGTTAAGAACAGACCTCCAGAACGAATTAAGTTCTTAACCCGAGGTACCACTGTATTGCATTTGTATACCACCTTTCTGCTAAGGAGCTCAACGTGGCTCACGTGGTTCTCTTCCTCCTCATTTTATCCTCACAACAACCCTGAGGTTTTCATATGGAAAAATCTTTATTTTTTAAAAAGAAGTCTCTAACAAGTATGAGACATACAACCTATGTTTAAAAATCTCCAAGAGAGTTACAAAACCGCTAACAGGCCTAAGAAAAAAGGCCATTAACAAGAATAGCAGGGAATATTTAGAGTTCTCACAGGAAAAAAAATACAAATGATTTTATACAATTCTTTATCTTGTGGGTCAGCTGCAGCCATTTCTGGATACGACTGATCTTGCCATCTTTATGCATGCTCTAGGCACTTCAGAATTAGATTAATTACAACATACTTTCCAGGAGACTGCCTTTGAGAAATGTTCATAAACACTGGGGCAAAACAACACTGCTAATGGAAGCCTGGTCTTTTGTCCATACAACAGCAGTATTACATTAGCTGTGCTGGCTCCCCAGTTCTTTGGGGGCTCAGTTCAAAGTGCTGGTTATCACCTTTAAATTCCTTAGACGTTTGAGGCCAGGGGAGTTAAAATACCAGCTCCTCACACATGAATCTTCGTGCTTCCCTCCCTAAGCCAAGAAGAAGCTACCCAAGCTTTGGAAAGTAGGCCCCAAGCCTCTGACAAGATACTGAAGCCCTTCTGCCTCCCTCCCAAAGCTGGGATATGCCATTTTGGACCAACCGGGGGTCCAGCGTACAAGTCTGCCTGTATTTCTGTGGTTTAAAACTAAACCAGCAAGTTCAACAGCCAGGCCTAGGATAGCCTGTTGTGGGTGGACTTAGTTGCAAGTGAGTTTATGACCATATTGTTCAACATGATCTGAAGACCGTGAAGTGAACATGCTCCTTTTTAACATAGTCTGGCAAAGGTTTTGTTTTGTTTTTTTAAACTGACCCTCTGATTTAGATCACCTTTTCCATAAATACAGATATATGAGGCAGCTTGAATTGACCCAAGTTAATAAAATCTTGTGCCACACACCTCATCCCACCAGCATTTTCTGACAGCCATCAAACTTTAATCACATTTATAGCCCACACGTCTTGCAGGGAGCTCAGGGTAGGTCATCCTGTTTTATCATCCCTCGACCCTGAGAGGTAACTTAAGCCAGTGGTGGCTTGGTCCAAGCGGAGAGCTGTAAGAATCTGTCCGTGGCCCATTGTTGTTCAATATCTTTATAAATGACTTTGATGAAGGTCTGACCTGCTGGGAGCCTGAAGGGCTCTGCCCTGCTTCTCTCCACCTGGCTTGGGGCAGGGCCTGACAGGCTCCATGAAGGACTGCCGCTGGGCAGAGAGGGCTCCGTTTTTGTTTTTTAAATTGCTTTTATTTTTTATCTACGTCATTTTAAATTGTGATTGCTAATAATGCTGCATTCTTTAGATTTTATGATTTATGTGGAAATTGTTTTCCATTTGGTTGTGTACTTTTTGATGTGTTTTATTTATTGCTTGGGACGCGGGTGGCGCCGTGGGTTAAACCACGGAGCCTAGGGCTTGCCAATCAGAAGGTCGGTGGTTTGAATCCCCACAACAGGGTGAGCTCCCGTTGCTCGGTCCCTGCTCCTGCCCACCTAGCAGTTCGAAAGCACGCCAAAGTGCAAGTAGATTAATAGGTACTGCTCCGGTGGGAAGGTAAACAGCATTTCCATGCGCTGCTCTGGTTTGCCAGAAGCGGATTAGTCATGCTGGCCACATGACCCAGAAGATGTACGCCGGCTCCCTCGGCCAATAAAGCAAGATGAGCGCCGCAACCCCAGAATGGTCCACGACTGGACCTAATGGTCAGGGGTCCCTTTACCTTTACCTATTGCTTATGACTTTTGTTATGTTGGTAATTATGTAAATCTTGCCATGTTGTAAGCCGTCTTGAGCATTGTTTTAACTATGGAAAGACGGCATACAAATAAAATGATGATGATGATGATGAAGAAGAAGAAGAAATTGAGGAGATGCTCATCTAATTTGAAGATGGCAAACCGGGAGGAGCCGCTAATACCACAGAGGACAGAATCGGAATTCAAGAGGACCTTAACAGATTGGAGAACTGGGCCCAAACTAACAAAATGTACGGTAATTCAATAGGGACAAAAGCATGGTTCCTACACTTAGATAGGAATATCTAGCTGCACAAATATAAGATGTGGGGGGACAACACTTGGCTTGCCCATAGTACAAGTAAAAAGGATCTAGGGGTCTTAATAGACCACAAGCTTAATAGACCACAGACCATAAACATGAGTCAACAACGTGAAGCAGCAGCAAAAAAAGCTAATTGCCCTACCTGGTGGCGAGTCCTGCTGGTGCATACAGCATGTCTAGTCCAAAGTCCAGCAGACAGGAAACACAGACTAGAATCAAACCCAAAGCACAGTCCTGCAGAGACCCTGGAGCATCCAACCCAAAGTCTATCAAAATGGGCAACTGAGCAGACACAGCACCTCAGCTCTGCTTCCCTTTTATGCTTGTTGATTGCAGCATCTGGGCTTGATGAGGCACACGACCCTCACCTGTCCTGAGACCACTCCAGCTGAGGAATCTCACACCTTCTCCCCAAGCAAATGAGCCCCATCTGGGCTGCGAGCCCTTGCCTGCCTCAGCCTCCTAGAGTGTCCCTCTCCCTGCTCCCTTGTTCCGGCCTGAGACTAGTGGCTGGGAGTCTTTTAAACTGTTTGTAAACTGTTTCTAATGGTTTTGGTTTGGTGTTTAATGAGGGTGAGGGTTGTTTTACTTGGGGTGGGAGCAGTGCTGGATTTATGTATAGGCTAAGTAGGCTGAAGCCTAGGGCCTCTAAATCTAGGGGCCCTTGCCAGCCTGCCCGCTCCCCAGTGCCGCAGTCTCCCCTCTCCCAAATTGCAAGCTCAAGACTTCATGCAAGGGCCGGGCAACTCAGGCCCAGGAACTATGAGACTCAGGGCTAGCCAGTGGAGCCCAATTTGAATTTTTTTTCTTGTAGGGCCCCAGTTCTCAGCCAAAGTCTGCAAAATCTTATAGCTATACATAAAATCCATCTAGATTGCCCTGGTGCAGGGGCCCCCTTAGGAGCGGACCGCAGGGCCCAATTTGGCCCAGTTGCTCCAGTTGCCTTAAGGTCAGCCCTGATGAGACTGTGCAGGGTTTGGACTGACAAGCCCTGCACCTTCTAGGTCCCTGGTGTCACTATTCAGAGTACAGACTCAAGGACTTGTTATGGTAATAAAGGGGGGGGTGCACTTATTGGAAATCAGTTTTGTCACCTCCCCCCCCTTCAAAAAGAGAAAACCCCGGATGATGAGCCCAGCCACCTTTTATTCACAGTTGCATAAGCATGGCCATAAACCTGTACGTTCAACCACTGAAATATACACCCAATAAGTACCAATGGAGATTTAAGTTACTTCTTTATGAATGGACTCTGTATTTTGTGAATCACCTAAGAGCTACCAATAGGGTGCTCTAGAATCTGACAGCTAACCAATCGGGTACTACCAAACAGTGCCCCTAATTGCTGAAAGCAGGTAACCAGCAGGGAATGCTTCATTTGCAAGGAATTGTACAAAACAAAGTGGCACTAATAAAGAAAAGTTCCAGGGTGGCAACAGAAAGCAAACTAAAAATGCTTTTGCAGTTCATCAGAACTATCCAGCAATATCAAGTTACAGGAAAACTGCTGCTATTAACAGTAACCTTTTTGTTGGTTAATTGATTCCGCAACTTCCATGCACATGACGTGTGAGGCTAAGTTCCTCTCCAAAGAGTTAAATGATAACTCATCAGAGGCAGCTAGAGGTGCAAATGGCAACAAAATATCTGTGAAAGGAAGAGGAGCAGGTTTGCTCAAGTGTGTTGCAGGTAGAAATACTGTTTGTAATGAAGCGAGAGCAGTAGTTGCTCGAATTAACAAATAAGAAAGTTTTGAAAATTTACATGCTAGATTAAAATTGATTAATTCATTGAGAAGGGGATTGTAAGAAAAACACTGGGGCCTAATTTGAATAGTAGAGTGCCTGGTATCTGGTGGGCAATATCATCCTTTATTTCCACACTGTGACTGCAGACCAAATGACTCGTCAGGAGAGCTGTGAGATTCAGGTGAGGGTCAGATGCTTTGTCAATCCCAGCAGGTATATAACAGGAAGACCGTCCTGGCCAGGCCTGCGTCCAAGTATAAGTGACAGGGGTTGGGAAGGCCAGGATCATGGAGATCTGGTGGTGTTTTCCCTGTAGCATTTTATACTTTGAGAACACACTGTAAAAAAATAAATTATCCTGCATTTAGCATAATACATTGGGTGTAGATACAGGCACGTTAAGTACTTTTATAAATAGAAGAACAATGGGAAAGAAAGGGAACAAATTTGCCGCTTTGGTGTGCCTGGAGAATAATTAAGTGTGTTAATTGTGCGCAGTGACAAATGCATTCTAATAACTTCGTTATGAACTGTTATCATACAACATGCTGCTGAGAAGCTCTTAACCTCATAAACTGTTCCTCAAGGTTTTCTGCCTGCAAAGGCATCTGCAAATAAAATTGCATTTTATTATGGGTGCTCACCTCCATCCTTTATTTGTCTTGCCTCTCTGTTCTTGCTTGAGTGCCAAACTGCTGATTGTAACCTCCTTGGGTCAGGGAACTATCATTTGTGCTTATGCATTTGTGCAGCCGGTGCTCTAGAAACAAATAGTAGGATTTTAAACCCCATTGATCTCAAGGGGAGGGATTGCAGCACACATCCAACTCTTAAATGTGCTTAAATAAATAAATAAATGCGCTTAAATGCACTTGACTGTTGCCATATCCAATCTAATAATGGCAAATGGGCTAAGCAGAACCCCCTAATGATATTTCCTGCATTATTTCTTTGCAAATTGCAATTTGGTTCAAAACCATAGTGCTTCTCAGCAGGCATTAGACGTATTTGCATGAGCCGAGTTCTCCTTTATTTTAAAAAATGTGGCTCCTTGTATTACACACTCTGCTCTGCTGTCCATCCCTTTATCTTCCCGCAATTCTTATTGCACTTGAGAGCTCCTATCCAGTAGTGTCACAAAGGATGCATGTCCATGCGTGCGTGCGCTCGGAGATGTTTCCTTAACGTCCTTCCAAATTTCTGCATGAAGTCTAATTGCATCGCCTTCAAGCAACGTTCTGAGCACTGACCCAAATAGTTTTACGCATTTTATTTCCACCAGATGAACAGCCATTTCAGTGATTAGCATGATGCTTAAGCAGGAGCTGCCCCCCCCCATCTAAAGATTCCTTTTCTCCAAAAGAAAAGAAAAAAATTGAAAACCCCAGACTGCAATTCATGGTGGTTAAGACATGTGTCCTTTGGTGACATTGAGCTGGGTTCAACAATGAAGAGAACATCAGTTTGCAGCTGTTTTGACGGTATAATATGATTCCAAAAAGCAGAGGCAGAAGGGAATCAGCAGGTAGCATATTCAGGGTATAAATTAAGGCAGGGGCAACTAATCTGAGTCACACAGGATATTGCTGGACTTCAATGTCCATCATCCTACACCATGGGCCCCATTGACTGGGGCTGATGGGAGACATGGGTGTAGCTAGGTTTTTTGTTGGGAGGGGGGCCACCCAAAGTTGCTTAGCTTTGCTCTCTTTTTTAAGGAAATCGGGGTAAATTCAATTCAGTTCACATTTAAAGACGAAACTATCAAATTTGCACTTCCCCCAAACAATATGAGTTCCCATTCGCAGGCATCTTTCGAAATTCACACATCTGTGAATGTTACAATGCAGTTCTCTGATCAAACAATGTTTACCGAAGCACATATATTAAGGGAAAGTGTGTGGAGAAAATGAAAATATTAGTGAAAAGGGCACAGTAAATATATTCTACTAGGGTAAGTTGTTTGAAAGCATCTGCACATTAGTTAAAATTGCATACAAAAATGTTTATTAAGAGAAACTCACACTGAAAGGATGAGTTTTCACGAAGTTTTCCTTAAAAAGAAATGTGGAGAACTGAATTTAAGTGAAGAGGTTATTATAGAGGTATATAACATGATGCATGGTGTGAAGAAAGCAGATAGAGAAGAGATTTTTCTCCCTCTCATATACTACTTGAACCCAGGGTCACTTGGTGAATCTGAATTTGGCAGAGACAGGACAAATAAAAGAAAGCATTTTTTTTCACCCTGCATAGTTAAAATATTCAATTTGCTGCAGGAAGAAGCATCAATGGCCACCAATGGGTGTCTTTAAGAGAGGATTAAGCAAATGCATGGAGGATAAGACTGTCAATGGCTGCTAGCCATGATGGTTATGTTCCACCTCCACTGTCACAGGCAGTATATCCATGAAGACCAGTGGGCTGGGAATCATGAGAAGAGTGCTGTTGTGTTCAGTGTGGTGTTCAGAGCCAGTGTGGTGTAGTGGTTAAGAGCGGTAGACTCATAATCTGGTGAACCGGGTTCGCTTCACATGCAGCTGCTGGGTGACCTTGGGCTAGTCACACTTCTCTGAAGTCTCTCAGCCCCACTCACCTCACAGAGTGTTTGTTGTGGGGGAGGAAGGGAAAGGAGGTTGTTAGCCGCTTTGAGACTCCTTTGGGTAGTGATAAAGCGGGATATCAAATCCAAACTCTTTTTCTTCTTCTTCAGGTCTTGCTGGCATACCTTCTACAGGCATCTGGCTGAAACAAGAGAGAAAAGGGAGATTCTGGGCAAGATTCTTAGGCAAGGTGGGTGGGGAAAAGCTGAAATGCTTCCATGCAGGCTGCAGAATTACAGCCAGGAGACAGAAGGATGCTGGACTAGAAAGACTTCTGGCCTGATCCAGCTCTTCCCATGTTAGGCTGCCAGCATAGGAACAGTGTGTACCTTCACCAGGGCATTTGACATCCCCCTGCAAGAAATCCTCAGGCTGCTCCTGCTCACCTGAAGGATAGGGAAGTTCCCGCGCCAGGGCTTTTTTCAGCTGGAACTCACCTGAACTCAGTTCCAGCATCTGTCAGGTGGGTTCCATTGCCATTAAAAGAGGTGTTCATGTGAGTTCTGGCATCTCTTTCTAGAGGAAAAAAAGCACGGCCCCACACGGTATCAAGGATCCAGCTTGCTAGAGGGATACTTGGGTTGGAGGCATTCAGGGAGAACCATAGTTCGTCCCTGACTCTGCAGCAGTGAACTGGGCTGCCTTCTGATGATGCTGGCCTGCCCAGCCTTTTTAGGCTTCCGTGGCATGGTCCAGTTGCTGGCTCCATTTAGTCTGGAGATGTGCTGGTGGACCTCCAAGCTTCAACAAATGTGAAGTGCTGTGGTACATGCAAGTAGCATGAGCAAGATCAAGACATCCTGCAGATACAGCTTGTTGGCTGAGAGTTACTATTGATAATGCAAGCATCCTGAAACATGGGAAGCTGCCTTAGATGGAGTCACAATAAGCTGTAAGACCCACATATATGAAAATATAAGGTAAAAGGTAAAGGGATCCTGACCATTAGGTCCAGTCATGGCCAACTCTAGGGTTGTGGCACTCATCTCACTTTATAGGCCGAGGGAGCCGGTGTACAGCTTCTGGGTCATGTGGCTAGCATGACTAAGCCGCTTCTGGCGAACCAGAGCAGCGCACAGAAACGCCGTTTACCTTCCCACCGGAGCGGTACCTATTTATCTACTTGCACTTTGACATGCTTTCGAACTGCTAGGTTGGCAGGAGCAGGGACCGAGCAACGGGAGCTCACCCCGTTGCGGGGATTCGAACCGCTGACCTTCTGATTGGCAAGTCCTAGGCTCTGTGGTTTAACCCACAGCGCCACCCGCGTCCCATATGAAAATATAAAGTACAGTGGTACCTCAGGTTACATATGCTTCAGGTTACATACGCTTCAGGTTACAGACTCCGCTAACCCAGAAATAGTGCTTCAGGTTAAGAATTTGCTTCAGGATGAGAACAGAAATCGTGCTCTGGCGGCGCGGCAGCAGCAGGAGGCCCCATTAGCTAAAGTGGTGCTTCAGGTTAAGAACAGTTTCAGGTTAAGTACGGACCTCTGGAACGAATTAAATACTTAACCTGAGGTACCACTGTACTCCAAAGAACAAACATACTGAAAAGGACAATCAACAACAATACAAAAAGGACAATGAACTATAATAGATTTGATTTGACGATTAAGACTTTTTGAAAGATGTCCACTTAGTCCTAAGTTCTTGAGAAAGGATATTAACCCAGAATGACACTTCGTGCATCTGATAAGGTGGATCGTGGTCCACAAAAGCTCACTGTGGTTTATTGGGTTTGTTGCAGCAGATCTTTATAGCTACTACCCCTCTGAGAACTTTAAAAATCTGGGTACTTCTCCATTCTTACTATGACATTGCAGGGCCTCACGTCTCTCCTTCATAGGAGATTAATCATCATGTATTTTCATAAATTGAGCAAGACCTGGTGAGTTCTCCTCCCTTTAGTGAAAAACCACCTTCTTTGACAAGGCAGGAGAGAAATGCCACAGACGACTAGACAGCAGGATTGGCGTTGAGAGATGCAATTAAAACAAGCTCCCAGAAGCTGAAAAACTAATTTTCCCCCTGCGAAATAACTTACCTGAACAGAGGACAAGGACAATGGAACTGTTTCGTGGTCTGATTTGGACTCTTTTCCAAGGTGAGAACTAGAGGTGTGGAATAAGTCGGGCTTTCCACTGGGTGCATTCTGCTGGGGAACGTGCAGGCTCAGGAATCCCCATCTTTCCTCCCCCCCTTCATTCTTTTGGTCAATGATAAAAATCTTGAAATCAAGGCTTGCGCAGAAATCTGCGGAGCAAGGATAAAATGCTTGCGCTTGAGCTTTCCACCCCAGAAGGAAGCAATCAGAGATACTTGCATAATGGGAAAAGTGATTAGTATGGGGATTTAAATGTTCGTTTGTTTAATGCATTTATATCCCACCTTTTTCTCCAAGGAGCTCAGTGTGGTGTAGATGGTTCTCCCTCCCCCCATTTAATCATCACAACAAGCTTATGAGGCAAAATGTGGTAGGCTAGGCTCAGAGGCAATGACTGGTCCAAGGTCATCCTGTGAGCTTCATGGCTGAAAGGGAATTTGAGCATGAGAATGGGCCATTTCTGTGGTGGCTCCTCATTTGTGGAATGCTGTCCCTAGGGGCTTGTCTGGCACCCTCATTGCATATATTTAACCACCAGAAGAAAGTCTCTCCTAGGCCTTTGGCTAATTAATCCATCTATGACCTTTTAAACTGTGTGGACGCATGGGTGGGTTGCTTTGTTTGTCACATAACATGTTAACATGTTTTTATGCTGTAAACTGCCCTGTTGTCCTCAGATGAAGGGAGGTATATAAATTTAATATACAGTGGTACCTTGGTGTTCGAACGTAATCCGTTCTGAAAGACCGTTCAAGTTCCAGAATGTTTGAAAACTGAAATTTCAGTACGGAAGCCTCAAAACAGAAAACTCAATATGGAAGCCACATTTCATGTTCAACATCTGAGGCCCTTTCAAAAACTGAAGCACTTACTTCCAGGTTTACGGTGTTTGAAAACCAAAACGTTTGTCAACAGAGACTTCGAAAACCGAGGTACCACTGTATAAAATCATAAAAGAACATAGTCTCCAGCTTATTGTGTTCAGTCACATCCACACCACTCTTATACCACTTGATGAGTTATGGAGAATGTCATGAAATGTGGTTTGTTAAGGGTGCTGACCTCACATACCTACAATTCCCAGCACCCTTAGCAAACTATAGTTCCCAGGGTTCTCCATGAGAAGAGTGTTATAAATGTGTGGTCGATGTAACTGAAGCCTTAGCAATATTCAGGATTGTTCCCCCTAAAGCATAACCATTAAAGCAACAGATTTTGTGGCAAGCAATATGGCTCCATCCATTTTGGAACAGACGATTTTGTGTGTAATAGCTCTGAATATGCTTAACGTATGATTTGTTCTGAGTGAAAAGTATTTCCTTTCTCTTTCTCTTTTTTGCAGTTTGTTGGACACTGGATGGCCCTGAAACAGTCACTGCACCTCTTGGTGGCTCACTGTCTGTCCAGTGTAAATATGGAAAGGAGGATAAAAAATCTGTCAAATACTGGTGCAAAGAAGAAGGTTTGACCCTCTGTTCTAGTAGCCACACCGTCCGTACAACTAGGATGGAGGCAGAGGGGATGAATGACAGAATGTCCATTAAAGACAACCACACATTCCATAAATTCACCGTAACCATGGAAAACCTCACTAATGAAGATGCCGGGACCTATATCTGTGGGGTAGAGAGAGCCTATAACATCTGGCACCCAGTGGAAGTTATCATTACAGGTACACTTCCCCACCGCTGCATTTACTCTTATAGGGAGAGGGCCATTGTGCCTACAAAATAAGCTAATGCACTCCAGCAGAGCCATTCCTTCCATGAGGCAGGGGGAGGCATCTGCCTCAGGTTGCAGATTCTGAGGGGCGGGAAGTGGCTAGAAATGTGTGCCAGCTTCGTGCCCTGGGATGCAGTGGAAGACACTGTTCCGTCACCAGGGCTACAAGTCTGGTCAGATTTTGTGCATAGAATGTGGAATGCTCCATCTTGTCCTTCACCTCGGGCAGCAAAATGGCTTGGGCCACTCCAGACTCTAGCTTCCTAAAGCTAGAATTGTGTGATGGTTTGATACGGGTTGCACTCAGAACCTTGAGAATGGCACCTTTCTTTTTAAAAGAGAGCATGCTTCTGGCCCTTGAGGATTAGCTTTGAAGGTGTGTGGGTAATGGTGATGACATCTCAGAAGTGGGGAGAGTAGCAGACCTTGGAAGAATCCATAGGCATCTAGGACTATCGGCTTGACTAGCAAAAGCAAAGTCAATCCCACCAAGTATGTGGGGTGTGTATATTGGTTGAAGCATGCAGTCTTTTTGGCGAACAATTTCACTTGCATTGGCCCATCATTTTACGCAGGCAGGTTCAGCTGCTGTCAATGTTTTGATCACTTAAGTAAAGGGACCCCTGACTATTAGGTCCAGTCGTGGCCGACTCTGGGTTGCGGCGCTCATCTCACTTTATTGGCCGAGGGAGCCGGCGTACAGCTTCCGGGTCATGTGGCCAGCATGACTAAGCTGCTTCTGGCGAACCAGAGCAGCACACGGAAACGCCGTTTACCTTCCCACCAGAGCGGTACCTATTTATCTACTTGCACTTTGACGTGCTTTTGAACTGCTAGGTTGGCAGGAGCAGGGACTGAGCAACAGGAGCTCACCCTGTTGCGGGGATTCGAACAGCTGACCTTCTGATGGGCAAGTCCTAGGCTCTGTGGTTTAACCCACAGCGCTACCCGCGTCCCTTTGATCACTTAGGCCAAGCCTTTTTTATTTTTGAAGACATTTGATAGGTGACCAGTGCTTATTGTTTTTATCGACTACTCTTTCCGGTTTTGTATAATCTGAGGGCTGGATTCAGCTAAATAACTGTTCTAGTGGGAGCCAGCACAACAAGTCCCACTACTACAACAGGGCTTTCCTCCCTCCCCTACCCATGCCACCCTCCTCCATGACCCCCTCCACATCATCTCTGGGTTCAGCAGAGGGTGGGTCACCCCATCAGTCAAGCAGACATGCTTGCATTGGTGTATCAATCTCCTTAAGCTCTACTTTGAGCTTCACCCTAAGGCTTGATTTTAATGCTGGTAAGCTTTTAAATGCAAAGGGTTTATTGATTTGTAAACTGCTTTCAATATTACTGGGATTTGTAAACTGCTTCGAATACTATTTTATAATAGGAAAGCAGTATGTTGTTGTTTAGTCGTTTAGTCATGTCCAACTCTTCGTGACCCCATGGACCAGAGCACACCAGGCACTCCTGTCTTCCACTCCCTTCCACAGTTTGGTCAAACTCATGTTTGTAGCTTCGAGAACACTGTCCAACCATCTCACCCTCTGTCATCCCCTTCTCCTTGTGCCCGCCATCCTTCCCAACATCAGGGTCTTTTCCAGGGAGTCTTCTCTTCTCGTGAGGTGGCCACAGTATTGGAGCCTCAGCTTCAGGATCTATCCTCCCAGTGAGCACTCAGGACTGATTTCCTTAAGCATGGATAGGTTTGATCTTCTTGCAGTCCATGGGACTCTCAAGAGTCTCCTCCAGCCCCAGGAAAGCAGTATATGAATGTTTAAATGAAACACATGCAACTTTTGCAGGTTTGCCACAAGCTCTGATGGATCAGGGCACAGGTCTAGCATTCAGCTGCCTCTTCATTTAGTGTTTTCTTTTTATTTCGTATTGCATGACTGGCTCTGAGTAGCATCAACTTGCAGACCATTTGAACCCACACCAAAATCTCCTGTTAAAAAAATAAATCTGAAAAGATGAATAAATTTCCCAGGTTAGGATTTGACTGTGCATGTTTTTCCTCCCCCTGCAGATTCTGTTCCTTCGACCCATTTTGGAAGCATGGAACAAGCAACAGAAGAGCCAGCTGTATCTCCCGTAGATCCTGAAAGGTGCCATAACCCTTTACACCCCTTATGTTCCAGGGAGGAACCTATAATGTAGCCTATTATAATAGCTGGGTGCCAAGTCCAGCTGAATGCCAAGTCTAATTGTAGTGAAGAGCCAGGGGCCATCTTTCCCACCCATGGCAAAAATGTTACTGTATATTCATTCATTCTAGTCTACCTTTCTTTTTCTTTTCTTTTTTATCTGCCAGCATCTATCTCTTTTTTTTAATATTAAATTTTTATTTCAAAACCAAAAAAAAATTACAAACACCAAATTCAAAATCCATATTCATTTTCTAACATAAGCCTATTACATAGATTACCTAAATTAAAATATATCCAATTGCTCTAGGCTTCCCTTTGCTATATGTAAATACAACGCAATTAACAAATTATATTATAAATGATATTATAGGTTCCCATATACCCCTCACTCCCCTTCACCCATGTGTGATCTCAATATTTTACTTCTTCCATCTTGTTGTGTTGTTTCTAATCTACCTTTCTATGACAACAAAAAAGCCTCAAGGCAGGATAGAAATAAAATAAATGCACGTTTACTTCATTCTCATACTGCTTGCATGTGTCATTATGGCAATGAATTAGAAAGTGGAACATATCTCTCTTTAGAACCCAGCCTAGCAACACCGATTTCCTGCTCCTGGTCATGTGGAAAATCCCAGTCTTCCTAGCTATGTTGGCCGCTGTGGTTTGGGTGCATGTGTGGTACAGAAAGACCAGAGGAAGCTCCAACCCCAAGGCTCCAGAGACTGAAGAAGAGCTTTAAGGTATCCCATTGAAGGGTAACCAACTCTTTCACTGATGACTCAGCCGTGTCATTAATTTCCAGATTTCCAAGGATGTTGTGAGAAAGTGAGAAAATGGGAGGTCTACCTGGTAGTTGCACACTTTGGCCCAGCCAACACTGATACCCAAGAGATAATTTACATGCCAAGTATAGACAATCCAGGTTCCTGTTAAGAAATTAGTAAGGCCTTTGCTGCTGCAGTTAACAAAATTTATTTTTTCCTATTCCTCTTCTCAGTACTTGGCCAATGTGGGGGTTTTTTATCCTAAATCAAGACAGGTTACTCACACTCCAAAGGCCTCTTTCACAAATTATTGCACAGCCCAAATCCATGTTTTCCTGATGTTTGCAGAGAAATGTTGCTGATTGCAGATCCCTGGCAAATTACTAGCACAACACACCAAAGGTGACCACATGTGTTAGACAAGCATGTGCGGATGTGATGGGTTTACAAAGCACATGTAAAATGTTTTGCATTTTGCCTGAAAAATGTATGGTACAGCCTGGAGCGTTGGGTGGTTTTATACCACCAAGCTCTGCTTGATTCTGATATTATTACCTACCTAATTATCCAGAGTCAAAACCAGATAGTAGTCCCACAAATAACTTCTACGTTGTTCCTCCTTCAAACTAACTTTAACCCCTGATTTTTCTGTACGAACAAGAGGTTTTGCTTGGGATAAGCAATGACACAAAGTCCAAGATAAGAAAGAAGAACCCAACAAAATACCACAGCTCAGGTGCTGCTACTTTAATGTGGAATCTTTTCTTGTTGCTTTTCTGTAGCTGATGAACCATCTCTTTCTTAGCCTAGGAGTCGATCAAGGCATGAGCGCCATCCTTCCAGTTCCATGCACAGAAATTCAGTGACCACCTGCAGGAGGAAGCTTTCTTCTCATTTCTCAAAGCAGAAGGCTTTGACCTAAAACGCACTATGGAACTGTGACCTCTTGGTTGTTTCAGAGCCCTCAGAAACTTGTGCAGTGGTGGAGCAGGAGAGAACACTCTCTACAGCAGTCCCATCATTGTTGAACTCCTTTTCCCACAGCTGTGTCTTGAGCCTTCACTGTACAGTTTCCACTGAAGGCTGAGGTTGCACCTCTTTATACTTTTGTACTTTTTATACTTTATACCTTTGATACTTGACGTGTCTATTTTTTTAGGACCCACCCAATTCTTACAATTTGTTTTTAACTGTTTTCAAGGTTGTGTTTTAAACTGAGACCCTCTCTAGGACCTTAGCACGAGGGGCAAGTAATAAACCAAAGCAATCAGAATAATACCAGAGGAAAGCAAAGCCTCAGTTCATCGTAATTCTCCTTCATCAAACATGGGCGAAAGCATACTAAAATATTGAATAGCTTGGTTGACCTGCTGATTGACCACAGGGCCAGCTCAGCTCTAAGCTGTCCCTGTTTTAGGCAAGCCTGCCTTTTGCTCAAGGAAGCTGTGCAAGCCACACAGATGCCATTCAGCTGGCATTCCTTACTTGGTTCTGAGAGTCAAGCCAGATCATTTGGCTGCCCTAACACTCTTCCCCGGTGTCTCACAGCCCAGCTTCCAACACTTTCTGCCCAGTCAGAAGAGGATGGATTTGCGTCGTTGATACACCCAGACCCAGTGTCTGCTCCTTGAGGCCCTGCAAATCGCCCTCACCTGGTGACACGGGCGTATCCAGTATTTATTTGGGGGGGCAGGCAGAACCTCAGTATTCTATGTATTTTTTTATTGATGGGGGGCAGCTGCCCCTCCCTGCCCCCTCCCCTTGGTGAGCTGCTGCTCAGGCAGAGGGACCTCCTGCAAATTTACAACAGAGTCTGTCACGACTGGACCAAATGGTATGGGGTCCCTTTACCTTTTACTATGTTCTTTTAAGATTTTATACAGTGGTACCTCGGTTTTCGAACATCTCTGTTGACAAACATTTCGGTTTTTGAACGCCGTAAACCTGGAAGTAAGTGCTTCAGTTGTCGAATGGGCCTCAGAAGTCGAACATGAAATGTGGCTTCCCTATTGAGTTTTCTGTTTTGAGGCTTCCATACTGAGCCTTCAGTTTTCGAACGTTTCGGAGCGCCACAACCTCAGAGTCGGCCACGACTGGACCTAATGGTCAGGGGTCCCTTTACCTTTACCATATAGAAACATTGTCAATGCATTTTAGCATTACCAGCCAGGAAGGCCATTTGCTGCTGCATTAACAGTATTTATTTGCCCATTCTTCTTTGTCCAGACTAAATCCTTTATAGCCTATCAAAGCATCAACTGATTTGCAAAAGGTATTCTTCAATTTCAAGGTTGATCCTGGAGCTCTTTTGCCTTCTGGTGTTCCTTCCAAAAATGTGTTATGGGTTTCTTTAATAAATATGTATGGATTTAAAACACACACACACACACACACTCCACCAAAAGTCCTCAGACAGCTTTCCTTTCTTCAGCTACTGGCCCAGAGATCTGTGGACTATCATCTATACAGAACAGGATCCATACCTGTATGCGTATGGGGCACCATGCAAAGAGATGTCTGGTCCTTGTTTGCTTCTGGGATGATTGGGAGGAGGGTGGGAGAGACGTAAAGTTGTGAAAGAGGTGCAAATTAGTAAAACTTGGCATTTGCCCAGTGACTAAAGCCTTACTCATTAAAAAAAAAATCTCTATGGAATGGTGTTTTTTGCAGTGAAAATGCATAAAAGGGAACTTGCCATGAGGTGTGTGGGAGGCTAAAATAAAGAAGTGCAATTCCTGCAATGTCATGCGGTATCAGTGGTTCAAAGCTATAGACGGGCAAGACCACTTTAGACTGGGGAAATCTTCTCGCTGAAGGAGCTTGAACTTTGCAACTCACATCAGCCAGAAACATCTGGACATTTGTTGACAGTGGCAAGAGTTATCATAGCTAGGAAGTGGAAGGGGCAAGCTGAATATGAAATGGAGGAATGGTACAGGCAAGTGTGGCAATTAATGATAAAGTGATGTGTGCTATTAAAGTAAGAAGGGGAATGTGGAAGAGAAATTATGTTGAGGAAATATGGAAAATATTTGTGGAATTCGTATTGTTAAAACAGAAATGGGTCAAACCATCTCAAGAAGTGTTGAATTTTTGGAAAGTTGGATAATTATGATAAATAATGGTCTTGGAGTGGGGAGCACGTTTTTTATTGTATTAGTAATACTTTAAGAAATAATAATAATTTGAAAAAAACACATTTGGACATTCAGACACAACAGAACCAATACATATGAAAAGCTGAAGTTTGCTAAAAAAAATTTTTAGCTATGTGTGCATAACCTCTAAGCCAAGAGTAGCCAAGCTAGTTACCTCCAGAAGTTGTTGGACTGCAACTCCCATCAGCACCAGCCAGCATGGCCACTGGTCAGGGATGATGGGAGTTGTAGTCCATCAACATCTGGAGGCCTATTTAAGAACTTCCAGTAGCACATGAAAGGACAGGTGAGCTCAGAGATGTTTCTGAAAGAGAATATTCTTATAGCCACAAAGGTTGAAAAATCCAGATTTCCCTTTCTTGGTCAACAGAAATCACACACTCGGCACTAAACTTGTGTAGTTAGAAGCATACAGAGCCGTCTAGTGGTGGTATAATAGATTTGCAATCAAAGTTAACATGGACTGAAGGGTAACTTCTAGACACTGAAAATTGTGGGATGAACAAATGATTAAAGGGAAGGGTGTGCGTAAACTCAGGATGAACACTCATTGTTGTGTAATAACCACCCTGTAAATCAATCAGAAAGAATAGTCAGTTAAGACTGAACATCATCTAACTACAGTGGTACCTCGGGTTAAGAACTTAATTCGTTCCGGAGGTCCGTTCTTAACCTGAAACTGTTCTTAACCTGAGGTACCGCTTTAGCTAATGGGGCCTCCCACTGCCGCTGAGCAAAGTTGTTAACCCGAGGTACTATTTCTGGGTTAGCGGAGTCTGTAACCTGAAGCATCTGTAACCCGAGGTACCACTGTACCAAATAAGCTTTGTGCATGAACAAATGGATGAACAGCATGTCTGAAGATGCCCTGCAAAGAATAGAAGAGAGATAGGAAGTTTGGTAAGAAACTTAGTACAGATACAAAGGGGAGGGGGAGAGAGAAAGAATAACGAAGAGTCTTGTGGCACCTAAAAAACTAAAAGTGAATTGTGTGATTATCATATATGTACTTTCTGTATCTTATTTACTTCTGACCTCACTGTTTACAGTTCCCATATGCATATATACTTCCAGCTGAGTCTATGTTCATGCATCTGGTGAGGTGAACTGCAGTCCACAGAAGCTTGCACTGTGGTAAATTGGTTAGGTTCGTATTAAGCTAAATCGTTGCACTAGCAGAAACCAGTGCAATGATTCCCCTTAGCAGTGGCGTAGCATGGGAGGGCCACAGGGGCGGCTGTCCCAGGTGCAAAATTGTATGGGGTGCAAACTTTCAACGCCTGGTGCTGCCTCAATACAGCTGTGCGCTTCCATCGCTGGGCTCTGTTGAAAACTACTTCTCCATGTGAACTATGTAACTCTTCTTTTCTTATCTCTGGGTGACATGGACGCCTTTAGGCTGTTGAATGCACATGCGTACTCCGTTTCCCTCCCTCCCACCCCACCACAAGAGCCCGGGCGCTGGTATAGCATGCTATGCCACTGCCCTTTAGTGCAACAGGGCTTCCCCCCCCCTTTCCTCCCTCACAGCCTCCCCCAAACTGCTCCAGAGGGTCAGGAGAACCCCCCAGACCAGCATAAAGTGGGAAGAGAGGGGAGGTGGTTTCGTCAGGCAAGCAGAAACAATTGCACTAATTGAATGGTCTCCCTAGCACTACTTTGAATACAACCCTTAGTCTTTTGAAGTTGTCACAAGACAACTTCATTGGTTTTGCTGCAAATAACTAAAATGGCTACCCCACTGGGGAAAGACAGAAGAGGATGTCAAGTTCTAAATGTTAGGAACGATGCTTCCAAGCCAGAGCTTAAAACAAAAACAAATTTCTCCGATTTCCCCAAGAATGTAAAAAGTCAGGGAATTAATATGGTTGACATTTATATACCAACAATGTTGTGTGAATGTTTTATGCCTGCATGAGGAGCACAGATCCCACAATGAACAGATACCTGGAAGCACCCAGAAAGGTATTTATACTGACAGCAGAAGAGAAATAAATATAAATGCAGACAGCAGAAGAGAAATAAATATAAATGCAGATGATGCAAGAGTGTTGTTGTAATTCTTAAAACGGCACTCACAGGAAGTTAAACAGATTAAAAAAAAGACAGAAAGAAAATGTGCATGTCAAAGAAAGAAAGATGACAAAGGAGAACAATATTGTGCTGAAGTGGAGCATATTCAAAGAATACAGTAAAGGGTTTAGTTATATTGGGGGCTGTTTCTAGAAAAAAGGCTAAGGAAATTGCTCAGTCTAGCCCTAGAAAAGGCAATTGCAGTTAGGCAGAGGCAATGCTTTTTTTCTTCCCCCTCACTCTCATTGCTAGGATGTTCTGTCGTAAATTGTTTTGAAACAGAGAATTATCTCTACCCGCCTGGTTGTCATTACAATAGGCTGGTTGTACAAAACAACAATGTGGGAAAAGACATGGGAGGAAGCCAAAGGAAGTGATGAAGCAATGTGAAGAAAGAAGAAGCATGAATTGTTTGCCTCCATGACAGGCAATATTTGCAGATAATTGTTTTTAAGTGTCCCAAAGAGAAGTGAGATGTGGGAAGGGAGCAGCTGTCTAGTAGACCAGACAATGCAGCCGCTGTCCTTGCTGGGGCTGGTATTCCTCCTGCCAGGTAAGATGGTTGTTTTCATTTTACTACTTCCAAATTTAATCAAAGGTTAGCTTGCCTGTGAATGAGAGTTGCTAGCCAAAACTAATTACAGTGGTACCTCAGGTTACAGACGCTTCAGGTTACAGACTCCGCTAACCCAGAAATAGTACCTAGGGTTAAGAACTTTGCTTCAGGATGAGAACAGAAATTGTGCTCCGGCAGCACAGCGGCAGCAGGAGGCCCCATTAGCTAAAGTGGTGCTTCAGGTTAAGAACAGTTTCAGGTTAAGAACGGACCTCCGGAATGAATTAAGTTCTTAACCTGAGCTACCACTGTACAGCTTTCATAATGAACGCTGTCTGTTATTGCAGGACAACACTGTAGATCATGGGTTGGCAAACTAAGGCCCCAGGCCGGATCTGGCCCAGTTGCCTTCTGGATCCGGCCTGCGGACGGTCCGCGAATCGCCGCGTGGTTCAGCGTGGATCTGATCATTCGGGCTGCGCCATTTCCCCCTCCTCTCCCTCACACACACCATGGCGGCACCTCCCTCCCTCCCTCCTCCTGGCTTCTCCCTGCCCTGCCTAGAGCAGAGAGAAGGGGCGGGGCTTTGTTGGTGCCAGCAGCAGCAGCAGTGTGAGTGAGCACTCAAGCAGCCACCATTGTAAGCAGGCTGAATTTGGGGTTTGTTGCTGCCAATGGCAGAGCTTCATGCTTCAGCACTGGGGGGCGGAGAGCAGGCAAGGGCGGGGGGGCAGCCACGATGGCACCCCACTAGGATCGCACTGCCGGGTGCAGTGAGCTTCCCCCACACTCCTTTTCCTCCACCAGTGGTTGCTGCCGGCCCCTCTCCGGAGCCCTTTTGTGCTGCTCATCGTTCCGCTTTCGCCAGCCCCTGCTGCTTGCAAGACACAGGTAAGCAGCCACCAGGCCTTGTACATTCATTCATCCCCCCCAAAAAAAATTTTAGTCTGGCCCCCCACAAGGTCTGAGGGACAGTGGACTGGCCCCCTGCTGAAAACGTTTGCTGACCCCTGCTGTAGATTCTGGTGCTTTCATATTAGAAGTGGGAATGGGGTGGGTGGAGAGAGGATGGGAGAAGCTTGAACAGTCACAATTAAGCCATACCTAACTAATCTTAATGAATAGTGGCAGCTTTATGGTCTGTGGGGCCCTATGTGGGGGGCTATTGTTCTGCCAAATAAGTGTGACTAAGTCAAAATTAGGGGTGTATGAGAAGATAACAATGGAATACAGTGGTACCTCAGGTTAAGAACTTAATTCATTCTGGAGGTCCGTTCTTAACCTGAAACTGTTCTTAACCTGAGGTACCACTTTAGCTAATAGGGCCTCCTGCTGCCAATGCACCACCGCCACACGATTTCTGTTCTCATCCTGAGGTAAAGTTCTTAACCCAAGGTGCTATTTCTGGGTTAGCGGAGTCTGTAACCTGAAGCGTCTGTAACCCGAGGTACCACTGTATAGGAAAAAGGAGGGGGTGATGACGAAGCCTCTGCCACCCCAACCAGCTTTGGAATTTAGATACACACACATAAACACACACAGTTGCTGGGGAGAAGAAAGATTGTAACCTAGCCTGCTTCTTTTTGTTCTTCAGGATGTTTCTCTGACTTGACCGTCCTCAAGATGCATGCAATCCTGGGAGGATTGGCGTCTGTGGAATGCAGATATGATGAATGGTATAAGGGAAACCCAAAATACTGGTGCAAAGAAATGAGCAAAACATCATGTGACAAAATTGTCGAGACTTCGGGTACAGAAGAGCCAGTGAGGAAAGGCAAAGTCTCCATCAGAGACAACCATTCATTAAACCAATTCACAGTGACGATTGATGAGCTGACCAACAGTGATTCCGGCATGTACAAATGTGGCGTGATTGTGCGGGGAGGTTCGGATCTGATGGTTCCAGTCAATGTGACAGGTAAGTTAATGAGTCCCCCTGCTTTGATTTTAGCCCAGGAAGCCAAATCGCAGCTGAAGTGATGGCGAGAATAGAGAGAATAGAGAGAAGGAGAGGACTGCTTTTCCCCATTGGACTAAAGGAGCGTCTCCACTCCCATTGTTCTGCCCCGACACTGAGGTCCAGCGCAGAGGGCCTTCTGGCGGTTCCCTTGCTGCAAGTTACAGGGAACCAGGCAGAGGGCCTTCTCGGTAGTGGCACCCACCTTGTGGAACACCCTCCCACCAGATGTCAAAGAGATAAACAACTACCAGACTTTTAGAAGACATCTTAAGGCAGCCCTGTTTAGGGAAGTTTTTAATGTTTGATGGACTATTGTATTTTAATATTTTGTTGGAAGCTGCCCAGAGTGGCTGGAGAAACCCAGCCAGATGGGTGGGGTATAAATAATAAATTATTATTATTATTATTATTATTATTATTATTATTCACTAATCTACAGCCCTAACATCCAAATGGTTTGATTGTTCTCCAGCAGTCTTCCTTGGTTCTCAGTCCCCAGAGATGGATGGACTACAGTGCTCCAATCCTTGACCTGGCTGGAGATGATGAGGGTCATTGTCCAACAACATCAGGGGACCCATGCATGATGGGAGCATTAGGGCTGTCCAAGGGACTCAACCCTTTAATGCAAATTCAGAACATATGGAAATATTAGGCTTTGGCTAAAATTGCATTAAGCCAAATGTCACCATCAAAGCAGGTCACAAGATTCTGTGTTTCTCCTTACCTCATTCTTTTTTAAAAAATGAAAGTCTAAAGGATTGTTTCTAAGTTGGAAATGAAAGTGTTACTAAGAGTCTCTTCCCATACCGCCATCCAATTTCCTTTGTAGCTTCTGCTTTTTTATGTTTGCTTTCATGCTCAAAATTTCTGGAGAATATGAGTGACCCAGGCGGTATTGTATCTTCATCCCATTAAAGCTCTCTTTTTTCCAGTTAATACCTTCCTTATATTGTTTTTCACCTGATCAAACACATGTTTGTTGTCTACAGCTTCCTTAAGTAGGAGTCATGTTGGCTTCAGTCAAATCCTATATGCGTTGGCCACTCCTGTATAAACTACAGTGGCAGCAACCACTGGCGGAGGAAAAGGAGTGTGGGGGAAGCTCACCGCACCCGGCAGTGCGATCCTAGTGGGGTGCCATCGTGGCTGCCCCCCCCCGCCCTTGCCTGCTCTCTGCCCCCCGGTGCTGAAGCATGAAGCTCTGCCATTGGCAGCAACAAACCCCAAATTCAGCCTGCTTACAATGGTGGCTGCTTGAGTGCTCACTCACACTGCTGCTGCTGCTGGCACCAACAAAGCCCCGCCCCTTCCTCTCTGCTCTAGGCAGGGCAGGGAGAAGCCAGGAGGAGGGAGGGAGGGAGGTGCCGCCATGGTGTGTGTGAGGGAGAGGAGGGGGAAATGGCGCAGCCCGAACGATCAGATCCACGCTGAACCACGCGGCGATTCGCGGACCGTCCGCAGGCCGGATCCAGAAGGCAACTGGGCCAGATCCGGCCTGGGGCCTTAGTTTGCCGACCCATGGTCTACAGTGTTGTCCTGCAATAACAGACAGCGTTCATTATGAAAGCTGTACAGTGGTACCTCAGGTTAAGAACTTAATTCATTCCGGAGGTCCGTTCTTAACCTGAAACTGTTCTTAACCTGAAGCACCACTTTAGCTAATGGGGCCTCCTGCTGCCGCTGTGCTGCCGGAGCACAATTTCTGTTCTCATCCTGAAGCAAAGTTCTTAACCCTAGGCACTATTTCTGGGTTAGCGGAGTCTGTAACCTGAAGCGTATGTAACCTGAAGCGTATGTAACCCGAGGTACCACTGTATAGACCAGGGGTCGGCAACCTAAGGTCCATGGGTCACAAGCAGCCCACGGGGGTCGTTTAACCAGCCCACGAGCTGCCCCCAAGCTGAGCAGCCCCCTCAGCAACTCCCTGTGCACTGTGCTAAACCGTCACAGTGCAGCTCAGGGACTCACTTCCACGGCGCCAGAAATCACGTCTGCGCAGACGCAGATGCCAGAAATCGCAGGCGCATGCACGATCCAGCCCACAGAGGGATCTCCACTGGAGTGAACTGGCCCAGGTGAGGTAAACCTTGCTGACCCCTGCTGTAGGCCATGCAAGATAGAGATTGGAGAATGGATTGTTCTGGAAAGACTGAATGTAGAGGGAAACTTAATCCATTGATTATCTTTAAGTGACAGCAAGAGTCATCTATTCAGGCTGAGGTCGGGTTTATGTCACTCACAGACTTACTGTGGAGCAGCCCAATTTCACACCTTTGTCTTCCATTCTTCTTCTTTCTATATTAGAAACTACCAGAGGACCAGAAGACGCCTTTCACAAGGATATCAGTTCTATCAGGTGCGTGAACTTCCTTCACAGCATGTCCTGGTCTGAGCCACTCTTTCCCTTCTGACTTGTCTATGTGTTCTGCTTCCCGGAGGAACAGAATAATTTCTTTATTTGTGAATAAGATTCCATTTATGAACCTCTTTCCCAAAAATATCTGAACGCAATTTCACAGTAAAAACATCAGCAATAAAAACAATACAGAACAATTCTATATAAAAAAAGCAAACCCAATACAGATGCGGACAGGAATAAAGATCTCCAATTTAAAGACTGCAATTGAATGTCTGCAATCTCCTGCTACTACTACTGCACACACACACACACCCCTTTGTACTGGCACATGCAGGTTGTGGAGCCCCTGCTAACAAATCGGTACAAGGTGGTAAATCTTAAAATAGTTAAATTAGTGTAACACACACACAATAAGCTGACATATCCAAAGAAAAACAAAACATTTTCCTATCTGAAATCTTTCCCACCTTCATGCAGTTTTTACTGAGTCTCTTCAGATAAATGGGAGACACCTAAGAGAAACTTAAGATTAGGGCGAATTGTTCTTGTGCAGTGAACAACTTATAATTAACTAAATGGACTTATTTATTCAACCTACTCATTTGAATCAGGTATACCTCACATGTTGCTAATAGACCAGGTTAATTAGGTAAAGTTATTCCTTCCTGCATTTCCTGATAAATTCAGAGTTCAGTCCTTTTCAGCAAAATAGCACCTAGCTGAAAAATAAATCTGTGTGTCTGGAAATGCTCCACTGCCTGGGACTCCATACTATGACATGATAATTAATTCATGCAGCTTAAGATACCCCAGGAACTTAGAGCACATGTTTTGAATATTTTGGATAATTGTTATATACATAATAGGCAGACAGAAAATCAGAAGACCCTCTTTTACTTTTCTGTTATTTCTCTTCTTATCTTGCTTTTCTAATGACCTTTAATCCTTGTTTTCTCTCTGTTAATTCAATCTATATTTATGCTTTGCCTTTTTGAAGTCTCCTATCTTGGATTAATGAACACAGGAAGGTGGTGGATGGGAGATGAAGGGCAGAGCAGAGAGGATCTCCCAGGGTGTAAGGCTGGGGGAAGAGGGGGAAGCTCCCAGGTGAGAGCTGGAAGGGTTTACTCTTCTGTGTGTGGAGTAAGGATTAAGATATAAATGTGATAGAGGACCTTGTGTTTATTTTCTCTTCCTTGTCTCTTCCTCTTTTTTTCTTCCTTTGCTTTTTTAAAAAAATGTTTTTCATTTTTGCAATTTACCAACGTTTTGGGATGCCAAACAAAATTCTTACAATTTCAATTTACATTTCCCTCCCCTCCCCTCCCCTCCCCTCCTTTCTGCGGTTACTTAATCTGTACCTTTTTGTTACTGCATATCCAATTTGAATCTGCTTACTAATTTTCTCTTATCTTCCTATTTGATTATTTCTTACTGCACAGGTTTATATCATCCGGCTAATGTTTTAATTCCTTTGGCATATTCTTGCTTCTTTCTTGTTTATCTTCTTTGGATTAGTTTTTTGTTGTTGTTGTATTTTATGTTGAAAACTCTCAATAAAAACAAAAACTTCCATAGCACTCTACTTCATGATGCTCTACCCACAGTGATGCTCTACTTAGGCTTTATTTATTAGTCCTTCCTTGCCTCCCCTTCTCCTCATTTCCTTCCCTACAAGCCATGCTCGTTTTTGTTTTCCAGAGTAGTCAGGACCCTGAAATAGCCCCAGTGCATCTTCTCCAGGAGAAGGGTCACTCTATTTTGGACTAGTTAAAATGGGTTTCTCAGGAAACCATGATAAAAATTGTAAAATGAGATGAGGGACAGGAAGGAGGGATTTCTTAGCCTCCAGAAGGCTTCTTTAGATTATTTGGGTTCTGTCGGTCAAGGGAGACTAGTGGTGGCCAGTCAGCAGTCAGTCCCCCGATTGTCATTCTGCACAAATACCTTTTTATTGCTAATGATCATCAATCCTTACAATGTGTGGATCTTGAAGGCATAAAGCAGAGGTCAGCAACCTTTTTCAGCTGTGGGCCGGTCCACCGTCCCTCAGACCATGTGGTGGGCCGGACTATATTTGCCGCGGTGGGTGGGGGGGATGAACAAATTCCTATGCCCCACAAATAACCCAGAGATGCATTTTAAATAAACACACACATTCTACTCATGTAAAAACACCAGGCAGGCCCCACAAATAACCCAGAGATGCATTTTAAATAAAAGGACACATTCTACTCATGCAAAAACACCAGGCAGGCCCCACAAATAACCCAGAAATGCATTTTAAATAAAAGGACACATTCTACTCATGTAAAAACACGCTGATTCCTGGACCGTCCGTGGGCCGGATTTAGAAGGCAATTGAGCCGCATCCGGCCCCCGGGCCTTAGGTTGCCTACCCCTGGCATAAAGTAAGGGACAGAGTTCGTACAATAAGCCCCCAACTCTGTAAGCCATGCTTTGTAGCTTCTGGGATCTTGGTGTATGCTTTTCAGAGCCACAAAGCTTCTTGTTAGAGAATGGTGGGGGTATTGCATTGCGATCTACTCCAGTGAGGATAATATTCTGTTTCTCCAATGCAGATACCTGGTCTACATGTGCTTCCTGGTTTCAATTGCCTTGAAAGCCCCCATCTTCCTGGGTATGATCCTTGCAATTATCTGGATGCGCAGTAAGAAGACATAGCCCTCTGAGGAGGTGACGTCAGAAGGACCACTGTGAGAACTATCACTACTTCCTATCTGGACAATGACTCAACCCAACAAGAAAAGAGGAAATGAACTATGCAAGAAGGCATTTTTCTTAGCTTGTTCCGTTGTCATTCTGCTGTGTCCTCAACTTCTGCATCTGCAAGTACCAGGATCCAAAGAAGCCAACCAGCCTCAAAGTCACTGTGCCTTTGTCTACTCTGAAACAGTGATCAGTCACAGTCTTGATTCCCCAGCCCCCTTTTGCTGACAATCATTTGCATTTTATCAGTTTCACTTGGAAATTCTATTACTTTTGTTTCTTTGTTTGTTTGTTTGAGTGTGCGTGCTGGTGACATTTATATTATAGTAGTCTCTCTATATAATAAAAATGTAAGAATGCTATCATGCAGCCCCATTGGAGGATATGTAATACTATATCACAATCCTGGATTTTCACAAAACCAGGGTGGAGGAAGAGAGCAAAATGAAGGCAGGTTACACAACAACAGTGGCCGTGGAAAGGGAATGAGAAGGGAGAGACACAGAGAGGAAAAATTATGCTTTAAATCAGTGGCAGAAGTTTGAGCAAAGCAGGGATGGAGGCATACTGAGAGGGAGAGAGTGGCAATTATAAGGAATGGCAGAGGTTTGGGTAGGGTGAACAGAGGAAGACACTGAGGGGAAGTGGCAGTTTAAAACAAGGTTTGAGTACAGTGGTACCTCTGGTTACGTACTTAATTCGTTCTGGAGGTCCGTTCTTAACCTAAAACTGTTCTTAACCTGAAGCACCACTTTAGCTAATGGGGTCTCCCACTGCTGCTGCTGCACCGCTGGAGCACGATTTCTGTTCTCATCCTGAAGCAAAGTTTTTAACCCGAGGTATTATTTCTGGGTTAGCGGAGTCTGTAACCTGAAGCGTCTGTAACCCGAGGTACCACTGTACAGAGAGAAGGGAGTTTAGAAAGGCTGTTTTTAACTGGGTTTTCTTGATAACTTTAATGTTTTATTTTATATTTTCAAAAACCACTTAGGTTTTCTCACAATAAAACGTGTGTGTGTGTGTGTGTGTGTGTGTGTGTAAAATAAATAAATATACATTCAGCCTGCAGGTTCTTGTGATTTGCTTATGTGGTGTTTATAATCATCCAGTTCAAGGCCAGAGTGTGATGTTCTGCTGCTAGAGGCAAAAAAACCCAGTGCCATCCCCTGCGACCCCCAACTTCTCACTGCCACTGGGCACCCACCACCCAGCACTCGCCACTGTTAGATGCATGCCTCCTCCTCCTTGTATTCCACTGCTGTGGCCACATCTCCCCAATGCATATATCAAAAACTGTTATTGCTACATATAAAATGTTGTGATTATTACAGTCCTTCTATGCACATTTGCACTTATTCCCAGTGGGGCGGTGTGCCTTGATCAGATTGGGCAGTGAGCCCACTGCAGGGATTGTCTTCAGCTGTGCTGGCAAAAAGGAGGATGTACATTTCTTCAGCTGTCATCACAACCCTGGAGAAGATAAACAAGAGGGGAGTTCAGAGAACCCCCTCATAGTTGGAAAGAATATGTGAGGGTGTCATGAGGACACATGAACAAAAGTAAAGCCCTACTGGGATCAGACCAATGGCACACGCAATCCACCCCTGGAGTACTGTGTCCAGTTCTGGATGCCACAATTTAAGAAGGAAATTGATAAGCTGGAATGGGTGCAGAGGAGGGCAACCAAAATGATCAAGAGTCTGGAAACCAAGCCTCCCAATGAGCATTTAAAGGAGCTGGTTATGTTTAGCCTAGAAAAGAGGAGACTGAGAGGAGATATGATAGTCATCTTCAAATATCTAAAGGGCTGTCACATGGAAGATGGAGCAAACATGTTTTCTCCTGCTCCGTAGGATAGGACTCAAACCAATGGCTTCATCCTACAGAAAAGGACTAAACACCAGGAAGAACTTTCAGACTCTAAGAGCAGTATAACAGTGGAAAGAGCTAACAGAGCTTTCCTTTACAGTGGTACCTCGGGTTAAGAACTTAATTCGTTCTGGAGGTCCGTTCTTAACCTGAAACTGTTCTTAACCTGAGGTACCACTTTAGCTAATGGGGCCTCCCACTGCCGCCACACCGCCGCCACGCGATTTCTGTTCTCATCCTGAAGCAAAGTTCTTAACCCGAGGTACTATTTCTGGGTTAGCGGAGTCTGTAACCTGAAGCGTCTGTAACCCGAGGTACCACTGTAGTTGGAAACAGAGACTTTTCAGTCCTCCACTGGGACTTATGACATGCTGTAATATTCTGTAGAAACTGTCATGATCCTACTTCCCCCTATGATTCAAAGGGCAACTCAAGGTGATCAGGC